GGGAATTACAAGCCTGAGATTGGGTGCCTTCTTGGTCAGGTTTAGTAGAGGGCTCTGCCCTGTAGATGCCACTTTTTGCTGTGTGCTTTCACGGCATTTCCGTGCTATATGGAGGTGGAAGACTCCCCCTCCCCCCACTTTTAAGGTCACCCATCCTATCAGATTAAGAATCTACACTCATGATCTTATTTAAACTTAATTACATCTTTAAAAGACCTAGCTCCAGTTACAGTAGGGGTAAGGGTGTCAATATGTGACTTTTAGAAGAATACTCAGCTATAACCCTTGAGTTCATTTGTACTATAACCTAGGCCTAAATAAAGCACTTTTCACGGCTGGATCTGATGGTGCATGCATATAATCCCAGCTGCTCTGGAGGCTGAGGCAAGAGGATTGTGAAATTTAAGCCCTACCTGGGCAAATTGGACTGTCTCAAAAAAAGGGATGCAGCCCAATGAGACACTGTCAGTTCAATTCCCAGTACCACCTGCTTCCCCCACACAGGAAACATTCCCTGATTGCCTTAATCCGTCAAGACTAAATCAAGACTCATTGCTCCCAGGGAGCCTTGATTGAATCCGTAGGTCAAGCTGCAAACGCTGAGGCCATCTATTCCCTGTGCCTGTGGATGGCTCTCCTTGCTCTGTTAGTGATTAACCAGCCCTTGTGGACCATAAGTTCTTCCAAGGACTGATCCACACTTACCCTGGGGCTCTTAACACTTGTGGCAGTGTCTAGAGCACAGTAAGCCATGTGGGCGATGTTGGATAATCTTGAAGGTCAGAAACTAGGTCATCTGTGTCAAATGAGGCACCTAGACATTTTAGGAGCGGAGGGAGGAAGAATGGTCGGTGAGGATGGAAGAGGTGGCATCTGTTTGGTGGGGAGAACTGAGCCCTGGACCACTGAGCTCTTCATCATACTGTTTGACCATCAGGGCTTTTCTGGCTTTAGGCAAAGGAATCCACAACTCTGTACCAGTTAATGTCAGCCCAACCTGCTTTCCGAAATAAACATCATGCAAATTAGTAAAAATTTACTACAAAGGATGCTAGTCTGTTGTTTGACATGTGGGACGTTCTGCTGCATGGCTAAAATGCCCAGAGGATATACTCTCCATAAAACAGTAGAAGTCAGTATAGCAACACTGTCAGCGATCTTTAGGGAATAATATTCATCTCCCCATGCAGTCTTTTCTTTTTCATAAAATCTCTTTGCAGTAAAGAAGGCCTCATGGTGATCAGCGTGCCTTTTATAGATTAAATGGGGAGCCATGACCCTTGAATTTAGCTAGAAAATAGTAATAAATTTAAAACTCTAGTATGATCAAGGAGATTTGTTGTGCCTTTTAAGAATATAAGGATGGAAAAATTATCTGCAACCTAATCGTCTGCACCATAATTTCGCCCTCTATACACACACATCAGCATAAAAGGAAAAGTTGGGGTGTCATATCTTCTAGCCGGGCCCCTCATTCTTTCATACAAAACCCACATGCCATGCTTTTTTTCTGATTTAAAAATTCTAAACCTTTGACCAACCAGCTTTTCAGAAGATGCTAAATTTGGGGGGTGAAATGAACCATCTTGCATTCACTTACAGAACCGCTCTTTTGATTGGTTCACAAAGATTCATTTCTGAAGGCTGATCTGCTGGCTAATGTCCCAATTAGATGCCCATGGGAATGTCACGTGAGCACCTCTACCACCCCCATCCCTGGAAACCTCTCCTGCTCTGTGCTCCTGGCTCCCGTGGTGACCTCCTGTGTATCCCTCCCCAAACCCTTGGGGTAAGACCCAGCCTCATAGCCACCACTCGGTCATCAGAATCCCTGTCCCCTTTCCAGTTTTGTGTGGCTGGAGTTTCAAGTATAGGCATCCTCCCACATTGATTCTCACTTCCTAATCCATTCCGTCCCCACTCCTGGGCATTGTGGGGCTAAAAATAGCCAAACTCCTTCCAGGCAGCAGAGTATTGCAAAAGGTTTATCATAGGCCAGGACTACTGTGGTTTTGCTTTCCTTGACAACCTGAAGATTTTGTGTTTTTTTTACAAACAAAATATCGCAATCTGTTTAAAGTATACTTTTGTACTTTTATACTTCTGCTTACTGCCAAAATATCTCATCTCAATTTGTTTACTTACTTTTGCAGTCCTGGGGGTTGAACCTAGAACCCAGGAATTGATGCTTATTATACAACTGCTGTATCACTGAACTACAATCCTAGCACTTTGATTTTTTAAAACCAGTGACCTAATGATTATAATTGCCTAACTTTTTAAGGAATGGGGAGATGCATTTGTCTACATTGTACAAAAATTTTAAAAAGTCAACTTCTAAGTCAACCTCTTAGTGTGTGATTCAATATATATATGTGATATATAGTGTGAGTGATTTGATATATAGATACATATGTATGTATATATGTATTCAACACCAGTAAATAGTTTTTCTAAAACTGGTGACTGTATTCAATGTATTGGTTGGTACTTTTAAATTTAAGTAAATTTTTTAGTTTTAGTATTTTTCCCCTTGGAGGTAAAATACTAAATAAATACAAAAGCTACTCTCCTTTCAGACAGCAATTTAAGCTAGACAATGAAATGGTTTTTGATGACATGACAGTTATAACTGTGTATTTAGTTTTGTAAATAAAAAGCACAAATTTCTCTAAAAGTTCATGTTACAGCATTAGTTATATGTTGCTATATTCTTAAAACATATTACAGAAATAATTTCAATAGTTCCCTAAATAGGGAATTAACAGAGAGATTCAGGTGCAGGTAGGTAATCTTTTCTGTATTGCTACAGTAATGATAAAATCTGGAGTATTTAGAAATATTTCAAACTATGAATGGATGCCCAGGAAAAATTTCCTTCTTTGAGAACTGAGTTAATTATAGTACTTCTGCTTTTATCAAAGCCCTATTATTTGGCAGTAAAAATCATTGCAGGTTAAAAATGGACTCACATTAGCCTCACTATAGGTGTAGTATTCTACATACTTTAAAAAGGTTGATTCCTTTCCAGACTCACTGAATACAAATTCTTTAAAAAATATACACCCTCAAAATGGTTATTCTGTGACATAAAATCTGAGTTGTTTATATTTTAGATAACAATATTTTCATTTTCAGAATTTTAAAGCAACCTTATAAAAATTAGCATGGCCACAGTAGAAGCACATTTTATAAGTTGCATTTATAAGGCAGCGTTAGCTAATTTACTTATATCTAATTTTTCATGCAGCTCTCTGGAAGGCCAGAGCATGTCTACCATGGAGCCCTTCAATTTTAACAGAGATCCTTTCTCTATAACTAATTCAACGCATGGCTATATGGGTAATTTTGAACAAGTGGATCTTTCTCCAGCCTGAAAGGCTGCCAGGACAGAGAGTGAGCAAGAAAAAGAGGATTTCAAAAAGAGTCACAGAAAACGACAAAAAAATCATGAAGCACCACTGTATTGCCACAGTTCCCTTACAGAGGTGCATTGAAAGGTGATGATACAGAACAAAGAGAACACATCGGCACAATAGAATAGAATACCTGGGACAGCGGTTGGAAATGATTTTGTCATCAAATAGAGCACCCAAAAGTGTAAAAAGTTTGACTATATCTTCTGGAAAGAATTTCAAAAGAATTATTATTTCTTTCCCGCACCTTTATGTTACAGAATTTCACATAGCAGTGAAATATGAAATACAGATTAGAAATGTAAAATAGGAACTGCCATTGCAACCTTCATATATCATACTTAATGCAAGAACCTTTTAGACAAATATTACATTATACAAGTGTATAAATTATCATTAGGCCTTCTAAATTTAGATACAACTATTTAATTGAATCCAAGGTGTTGGAATAAATTATTAAAGAGTGTTCAATCTTCCACCCCTGTGAAATCCTGACAAACAGAATACATTCTGGGTCATATCAGCAGCAATACTGCAAAAGACAAAGGAGAGCTTTGATTTTACAAATGGAAATGGAAATACTTTCATAGTATTTAAAAAAGGAAATTGTCCAAGGAAAAAATCTTAAATCTCCCCAAATTAAGACAGTATCATTGATTATTTAACATATTTCTTGAATTTTAGTAAAAAAGGAAAAAGAAGAAAGAAGTAATAACTGGAAACATGATAAGGACAGGTTCTTGGAAATAATAAGGCAGAACCTACTCTAACAAAATCTAATGGGCCACAGGGTTGCCAGACTTATTTCTGAATCTAGACCTTTGGTCGAATGTTGCTTAAATATTTCTTTTCAAATGTAAAATTGGTACCAGGTCCTAGAGGCTGGCTGATTCCACAGATGGAGACCAACTGGGGATGTATTCCCAAGAGAGGGAATTCTGTCTTGAGAGTTCTACCTTTTCAATGCAAATCTTTTTATGTAAATGAAGCTGAATATAATGAGAGTTTTGATGTGTGAGGAATAATATTTAATGCAAGAGTCAAGATCAGGACAGGGATGCTTTGGAATTCATTTTAAAGCATTCTACATGTAGAATAAATGGTTTTCTATACATTAAGTTAATAAGAGCAATTGAAAGATCCCAAAGATTTAAAAGGTGAATTTTATTAGAATTATTTTAGTGGTAAAAAGATTTTCATGTGAAATGATTAGAATCAGGGAATACACTTAGAAACCTATTGCAATGTTTCCAAGATTCTTGAAATTGATGTTATCTTGAAATTTTAATTAATGTGTTTTTTTTGTGTGCATCCTTGTGTTTTGTCTTCCTCGATTCATTCTGAGGTCTTGAAGAAAATAAGGACAATTAAGGAAAAAATGCAAAGAACCAACTGACGCTGTTTTTGAGATACAAAACAAATTTCAAAACTTGTTAGAGGGCCATAGTCCTGCGAGCTATGGTTTTCAAGATAAGGATTGATAATGTTAGTGGAAATCAGTGATTTGTATAAAGAGCATGGGTTCTTTTTAGAATGGCAGATTTAGAAGTGCATACTTAACAGGGATGTTTTTCCTTTACTCAGGAAGCACAGAGGACAACAAAACAGAGCAGCTCCTTTGTTATGGGGAGGAGAAAATGAGACAGAGAACAGCAAAGTAAGTTATGTATCAGAAAGAACTGGGTCTACCTCTTGCCCACTCTGAGCATCCATTCCTGATAATTACGGGCGGTGGAGACTCCACAGAGCTTGAGGGATTCCTGGGAGGATATCCATTTGCTTCTCTTCCAGAATATAATGGGGAGGCTTCAAGCCTTTAGAAAGGTTCTGTTTTGAGCAGGGAACCTCAACTGTCCAAAAGAAGAGGTTAGAGAAGCTCATCCAGAGAATCTCAAACCCTGAGGGAAAGGGCGCAAAGGAAGGGCACAAAGAAAGGGGAACCCAATCTCTGAGTCGCACAGAAGAGGAAACAGGATGATGACAGGCTGAGGAGTGGGCAGAAGAGGACAGTTCAGCCCAGGGTGTGCTGGGCCAGGAGCCAAAGGCCCAAAGCCGTGAGCTCTCACACATCTCCTCAGAAACCAAGGCAGGGGATGCTGATGGCTTCACATCCAGGGTTTGCAAAGGCATCTCGATCACACGGAGGGAGGCCTTGATGTACGTCGCACAGCTTTTTGGGCCCAGGGTTTCTGATTCAGTGGGTCTTGGTGGGGCCTGGGAATGTGCATTTCTAACAAATTTTCTTATGATTCTGATGTGGCTGCTCAAAGGCCTCACTTTGAAAGGAACTTACTAGGGCTTAGTTGGTCGAAAACGTGGGTGTACAACACCACAAACACGCTCGGGTCTTGGAAGCCCCTGGAGAGAAGGGAGGGAGGAAAAGGAGACAGACCTCAGACAGTCTCAGAAGTTCCTCGGAAGAGACTGTGTTTACACCCAAAAGGACCGAGTGATCACTAGTTTGAAGGAGGTAATTGCCACATGAAATTTATAGTTCCCAGCAGAAAGTGGGGCTCTAGGGCTAAATTCAGTCCAGTTGTAGAGAAATAAATAAATTTACCACTTGAACATCTACCTTTCCTTACTGTGAGAATGAATACCCAGTTTTAGTATTTAGTACAAATATTTCACTGAAAGTGAAAAACAAGTGTAGACCTCTTGGCAAAGAAACACAGAAAGGATTTTTTTATTCTTTGTTACAATAAAGCTTTGTCATCCAACATTAGGCTTTTCCAGCTACCTGGAAATAAGAGGTTTCTGCAGCCCCAGGAGCACTGTTCTGTGACTCATTCTTGGGGCCTCCTCAGAGAACAGAGGTGATGGCAGCCGCATCTGAGTGGACAGCCCTTCTGAGCGTGAGGAGAAGGCAGGGTCTGTGTCCTCGAAACGCGGGTCCCTCGTCCCCACTTCTCCATCTGGGACCTGCATGAGCAGACTTAGTGCCCTGTTCAGGCCTGGCCAGGAGGCTCACATATCCACGGCAGATACATTAAGTGGGGTCCAGGGGAAAAGGCAAGAATCCATCAAATGGTGCTTCTCCTTCTGTAGCTTGTTGGGTTTGTGTCTTCAATCTTGCACTGACTACCTTTTGCATTTTTCCTCTACTGAAATCTACATCAGGAATTTAAAACTCTCACCAAACCGAGTTCACATTTATGAGATTTAGCTAAACTAAATCTATTGTGTGTTATCTAATGTCCCCATGACCTTCAGCCTCTCTTTCTTGTTCCCTTTCTGTCTTTTTTACTGGCAGTTGATCCCAGAGCCTTTTCACTGAGCTACATCCCTAGCCCTTTTTAAAAAATTTTAATTTTGCGACAAAGTCTCATTAAATTGCTAAGTTGCCCAAGCTGGGTTGAAATTTACAATTGTCCTGCTTCAGCCTCCCAAAGTGCTGGTATTACAAGCTTGTACCATCGAACTTAGCTCCTTAACCCTCTTGAAGTCAGTTATTCCTTTGATACTTGTGCCTCCCTCTTAAAAGGACCAAGAGCTTTCTCATAATTCTGAGGATATTGCAAGGGTCTATGAGCTCAAACGTCTCATGTCTACACTTCTTTCTCCGAACTCCACAGCCTCACACCCCAGTAGTTGTTTTATGTGTACACCTAACCTTCTTTACTCTTCACACTTCACCCCAAGCGTAGACGGAGCAACTTGTGGATGCTTTAAAAACACCACGATCCATTCAATTTATTCACTTTTTTCTTTCAGAGGACCTACGTTGTACAGGTGATGTTTTAGACCTTAAATATAAAACTGAATAATAATAGCTTAGTTTACAGTTGTGATTTCTACAATGTATGGAGACTTTGCAAAATACAGGAAGTTAACAGATAAGGGTTATAGCAAAGAAGAGTAAGCATCTTACTCCGGACTACAGTCTCAGATGTCCTGACTTCTAAGCCACGTAGACTTCCGTCATGGGGTTCAGCCTTGTGCCTTTCAGTTACCTCCTGCCCTCACACTTTCGGTAGAGGCCTTGCTTTGATATATCTTTCCGCCAGGTACAGAGACCTCTAGAAATTTTCTTCATTGAGTTATCAAAAAAAACATGGAAATGGTTTTTAAAAGAGCAGAAGAATTTAGCTTATTTTGTCTCATTGTAGTAACTAGGATCTTATATTTCCTAACCTGAAGAGCCCATTTTTGTATTTTCTCAAAAGAGCCAAGTGCCTTAGATGTGATTCATCATAGGTTAACAGAGGCCTGTGTAGACCATCTTTCAATTCAGAAAGTGCAACTTGCCATTGTAATCAATATAGAGGATCAGCAAAACATTCTGTGTGATGGCTGAGTGATCAATCCCTTTGGATTAGATCACAAAACAAGGGCAGACAGTTGAGCTGCAGTGAGGTGAAGACAGAGTGGTGTCCTACTGGGAAAAATGAAGTACCTTTGCTGCATTTTTTTCCTAGAAGCACATAGGAAAAAATTTTTTAATCAATAGCTATATAACAAATTTCAGTGGTACCTTGATTTGCAGAGGGAGAGAGACATAGAGGAGGGAGAGAGAGAGAGAGAGAGAACATCTGGAGAAGCAGCAATTGGAGTTACTTTTTGATTATGTTTACAATAATTCACTGTCTTTCTCCAAGGTCATTTATTTTCAGCTCTGGTCAAATAGAGTAGTTAAATGTGAACATGATAGGAATCCTATGTCTGCATATTTTAGTCTTTTGTGTAATTTTGCCATCCCCCAGTTTACTTTAGTATTTAGAAGGGGAGGCAGTTCCTAATGTCCAGTGGGTCAAAGGACCAAAAAGTCCAGTCTGACATTGTCAGAGTCTGTCTTTGCCCACTGAGCCTCCAAAATGAGGAAGTTACTTCATCTTATAAAATGTCCAGTCTACCATCATTGCCAGCAGGCCCCTTTGAAATATCTCTAAGGATGTTTAGAGGTTATTACTTCAGCGAAGACCTAGGTATTCTTCAAAGGAACCTGGCACACACTTCATTACAGGGGTTTGGATGTGGGCTTTGGGTAAAAGACCTTGGTTCTCACTTGTGCCTAAAAATTTTATAAAATGACCTAGAGTGTTTTAAATTATGAAAATCAGGTTCTTAGTAAGCAGCACTTTGATTTCAGTCCAGTGAACACCATGGTGTCCTAGCCAGCACTGTGGCCCAAGTCATGTGCTGCTTCAACCTGCTGCCCTCTTGGGAATCGTGCCCACCTTGTCTCTGAGCTTCAAGTTGAAGTGCAGTCACATGGGCTCTGTCACTGTCTGGGATCCCATTCTTCCCACTGAATTTTGGAATGCTATTTCAGTGGACTTACTTCCTGTCACCATCCTTGGTCTCATCAGGCTATATCTTGTTGCTTTGGCCAAAAGATTTCATCTGGGCCTTTTCAGATGGCATATAAGGAGACAGGGAGTAGGCCACATTTGATACATCATCTGTCTTTCTTTGTATATCTTTGTTGACGCTTTCTGGCACCTCATTTTACTTGACCTTGGCCACTATGGAGTGCAGGATTCATCTACTACCCCAGTAATCTGGTAAATCATGTTCATAAGCCCCAGCATCAAACATCCTGAATTGGGAATACCTGAGGAAGGGCAAATAAATGTAGCTTACTATAATATTTTCTTTTTACCTCTTTGTTCTAGGACACCATTAAAATCCATTTTTAGCATCCTAGATTCCCGGGTTTCAACCAATATAAATGAGCAAAACCTTTCAATTCTTTCTGTACATAAGATATATCTTCCCAGGTTAGACTCTACCCATCTTTTTATGACCTAACTCTAGTACTAAGTCAGAAGCAATGCCAGGTGATAGGCACATCTTGTAGGGAATTAGTAACTCCAAGAGAGATAAAGACATGAAATGCAGCCCTTCTGGCTTCTTCTGACAAAAGGAGAAGAAAGGCTCTTTCTACTTGCAAGGTCCCGTGGACTTTGAAGGTGCAAGTTGATTAGAGTTCTTCCAAAAGTCTCCAATCTTTTCCAGTGTCTTAACTTTCACATAGGAGACTAAGCAAAGTTGGAAATCCAATGCGTTCTACACTTTTGGAATAGTCATCATCAGATTTGAGTCTAGTTTTCAAATACATTGGCCCTGTACTTGCCTATAAGAACAAGATAAATTTAGGAAGTTTGTTTATTGCCAGATCACTCCCTGAACTTAAAATTTCAAACCCCCAAATCTTCAGTTTCACTGTGTAGAAAGAAAGAGTACAGTGAGAAGTTACTAGACTCCCTCACACTCCTTGTGGTCATCATTACAATGAATGCAATGTCTTATTATAACAGCCTCTATATTTCTCAAAACCTTATCTTTAATAGGTGCTTTATTCAGACAACTATATTGGTACTTTAATGACTTAAGATTTTTGCTTTTCTAATACCATGGACCATCAATAATGCGGTCTCTTCAGGCAATGATGTTATTTTTTTTTTCTCCCTAAATTAACGAGGCAGAAACATGATCTGAAGTCCCCCTTATTTTCAGTTTGTTTCTTAAGATTTCTTTCAGTGCTAGCTAGTTTCTCAGAGGCACCTACCTAGAAAAGAGCAACTATTAGTTATTTCAGACAGGAGAGGATTTAAAGGCACTCAGTGGTTTCCTAACTGCCAAAATGCTTCTCAAAGCAAAGGTCAAGGGATATTTCTGTTAACTTTCAGGTTTACCACTAGCTTACAGAGGGGTAGAGAATTTCCAATATGACAGAAAACTACCAGTAGTGATCACCAGTCCACAGAACCAAAGAAAATCTACCTAAAAACCCCTGGCAACTCACTGAAAAACCTCAAACTTGTTGAAGACCATCTTTCTGACTACCACCTCCATAGGGGCGTAATATGGATTCTGCTTTCTCTTTTCTATATTTTCAATGTCTCACACTTGCCTTCTTTTGGCTAAATTTGACCTAGAATCCAGCTGGCAAGGGGTTCTATGAAATACAATTGCCAGGCTTCCAACCACTGGGAATAGGGAAGGTGGAGGTGAGGAAGTAAAGGATGCTGGCTTTCACCAATGGCACACAGTGTGATTAATGAGTTTTACTGACAGTCTCTGAGTTTGATTGTTTTGTGATTTGGTATAAAACAGAATAAATGTAGGTATTTATATACATGCAAGTTTATTTATATGCCACGTAGTAGATGTTAATTAAAAAGTTCATTTATAATCTAATAGAAAACAAGAGCTCCCATAGCCTGCAAGCATTCACTCTAAGGCTGATTTTTACTAATACAAATTGTCCTTTACACAAAGCATTAACTCATATCTTCACTGATTACAGTTATTTTAAAAACCCCCAAATACAGTGTAGTATATTAGAAACAATACCATAAAACGATAGCAATGCAATACAAGTAAAAGTTTTTAAAAGCCTAGAGTCTTTAAAAAGATGAAAAACTACATAGCAGTAAAGAATTCAGTGTTTGAATGTGAACAGAATATGTCCTTTTAATACAAAATAAAATTTTCTTGTTGTTATTTATAATCAGTGAGATAAAGTTTCTGTTCGGTGGATATAAGCTGAAGTGACTCAGTCGAGCTCTTTTATGACTTTATCTTTCTTTCCTACTATCTCTAGGAAAAATAAAATTGAAATATTTGTGTTACTAATAAAGTTAAATCAGTTGCTATTTTTCAAAAATGTTAGTATTCTTTATATCTGTCTGTCTCTCTCTCTCTCTCTCTATATATATATTAATCCGTATGACATCATTTAACCTAGTGCCTAGAAAGATAGGTACCAAATAAATATTAGTTGTATTAATAAGAATGTGGGCTGTATATTTTAAAGATTTTACAGGAAAAAGATAAACAGGCATGCAAAGGCTCTTAAACACTAAGCTAGAAATCAAGAAAGAGGTAAATTTTGGCTGCCATGAGTCATTTTATTGTGGGAATTTGCAGAGATTATTTTGAATCTATGTGCCTTATTTATTGTCATGATAAAGAACTCTCTTGCCTACTTCACAGAGACACCTGAGATAATTAAGTTGGAATTCTTAGGAGGAAAATGAACTGTATAGAGTTACAATGGATATTGATGACAATACTAGGCCTTTGTAGTGGGCTCTCATTGTTATTTACATCCAATTATATAACTATGGGGAAAAGTTGGACTACAACACATTTCAAATGTATGACAATTAAATATGCAAAACTGAGCATGTATTTAACAAAATTTCAATAAGATTTTTGCATCTGGCCTGTGCCCAAATTCTACTAACATACTGATGTCAGCTGTAAGAATGAGTCCTCTGTTCCTAAGTGGAAAAGCATTTTAGACATCAGATAAAGAACCGCCTTTTGCTCCCAAGCTTTTGCACTTGGGGAGCAAAAAATAATAAGATTATTTTTTTAATCTCTTGGTGTTGCTAAGATGATCTGAGGGTAGATCTTTCCTTTTCTCCAAGGATCGTATATGAGTATATTTTAAAATCTTCAATAACATTTTAAAAGTTACAAAATAACTTTAAAATGACTTCCATCACCTCTTTTAAGCTTGTGTTCACTGAGAAAAGATTTATCCTTCTAGTCTTCCTATTGAAAACTTAGTCACTTCCATGACTGTCCTAATGGCTCACTGTTAAATAAGGGTCTAGAGTCCCATTTAATTACTGAATTTGAAATTAGAACATCATATTTTGTATAAAATTCAAAACTCCAAGATTCCATATTTACCCTGTTCCTCCCACATGGAGCCCTCTGCATTCAGAAGCCTGTTGCTGGTGAAGAAAGACATGGTATACAGTTTCTTGTTTTCTAACTCCTGCTCTGGCTTACTAGATTTCATTTCTGATCAGTGTGGAATTCAATTAAGAGGTTGCTGGGAAATTCTTTTTTAAAAAATTTTATTGGTACATTTTAGGTATACTATATAATAACATTCATCATTGGAAATTTGCACCTTTACATAATCTCTCTTGGTTCCTATTTTTTCCCCCTGCTGGGAAATTCTTACTTCATCCTCTCTCCTCTGGCTCCAAAGTTCTTCTGAAGTTCATAGGAACCTGGCTCATCTTCTCTGGTAAGGATTGTCCACCCTTTAGGTGATTTTGGTCATTAGAACCTAGTATGACCCCACTTCCGGCTCTCTCTTCTGTGTGGCCAACATTTTGCCCCAGGGAAACATATAACCTTTGCCTGCTGGAGCAGCAGCCTGTCCTGTCCTTCTCTTGAACTGGGGAAGAACTTTCTGGGTAAGGGAAAGGACCAGACCCAGTTTACTCTGCCTTTCAGTCACAGGGGCTATATATCCATGTTTTTCAGGTATCTACTTGAAACCTCTCCTTACTTAGACTGATACGCCTCTCCCTGGAGGGGAATAGGGCTCGTAGCACATAATGAGTCCTTTCCTTTTATACCCTCTCTGTGATTGTGTTCAAGTTCTGTAAGTTTCAAATATTTATTTTGGAAATGTTCATTTTCATCTGCTACTTCAGTTTAGAATTTATCTTGTTATTTTTGGTGCCACAATGAACTTCCAATTCTGCTGGATTTGCTTGTAGTAGCACGCAGAAATACTTTTCAAATTTTATATTCCTCTGATACAGAGGATGAAGGAAAGTTTGGGATGGTTGAAAACTGGGCTGTTTAAATGTCCATGTGACCTCTTGTCCAAGAAAATAGAGTCACATATTTTTGATTGTTGATTTCTTTTTGGACTCAGTGATTCTATTGTTGATTTCCTTTCAGGCCCAATGACGTTTAGATTCTTGAGGCTTCTTTCTCTTACCTGGTGTCCAAAGCTAGAGGAATGGAAGAAATGTCCCATCTAGTCATCTCAGGTATGCTGAAAGAAGTAAAAATTTGGTATACATTTCCTTTTCCTCCTCCTCCTCCTCCTCCTTCTTTTTTAAATCCTTGCTTTATCCTTTCTCGTTTGCAAAATTGATGAGGCCTAGTAGTTCTTCAAAGCACAAAATTCCAGGTGTTGACTTTATTCTCCAAAGTAGAGCTGAAGAGGAATTAAGCTTTTCAGCCTTGGTTAATTCCAGTACTCTTCACTTTTTGACGCCAAGGTTTTCATTGATGAGGAAGAGCAGTGTAAGGAGGAGGAGGAGGGAGCCCATCTTCCTCTGTGGCAAGAGACAATGTCTAGGTTTAGATCTGTTCAAATATGAAGGGATGTTGTTTCACTCCTCATGTTGCAGTAATAATGCATCCGCCTAAAGCAGATCAGCTGCCTGGGGGACTGAGGTCAGATCACAAATAGGCAGCAATTGATATAAAAGTCTTAATTAAACTCTAAGTTTTGAATCTGATATGCCATGTTGATCAAACCCATGCATTTGAAAGTGGATGACAAAACAGAGGGTCAACTGCTACCAGGGCATAACATACACTGGTCTACTAATTCTTTTTCTTATCTTTTATTTTTAACTGAAACGTAAAAATTTGTACATATTTATGGGATCCCATGCAATATTTTGATGCATGTATTCATTGCACAATGTTCAAATCAAGGTAGGCATATCTGTCCCCTCAGACATGTATCACTCGCTATGGTGAAAACATTCAAAATCCTTCAAACTTCTTTGGAGGAGGAGTATGGATAATGTTAATTCTTTTCTTTTATTTTGGGAAATGAAAAATATGCCAAATAAATTAACCCCAGTTCTAGATGAAGGGGTTAGCTCATTTCTCTGTTTGAAGCAGGATGCTTTCAATTGAAAATACTTTGGCTTAAATAATAAAGGAGATTTATTGAGCCATGTGAATAAAATGTTCAGAGAGAAAAAGGAGAATTCAGGCATGACCTTGCCTCTCTCTGACACGGAATTTTCCTCTGCCGTGAGTTGGCTCTGTGCTCAGGTGAATGGGATGACACGATGACATTACTAACTCAAATGCGGTCTCAGTCGTGTTCACAGAAAATAATACCCAGCAGTACGATCATCTTAAGTCACTTGGGCACATATATATGTGATTGCAGGATTATCTTGTTGGGATAGACCAGCTTGGTGCCCATTCCAAGTAATACTTCCACTAAAACTTCAGGGCTACTATTCAGTAACCCTTCAGCAACCTGCTTGCCTGACAATTCCCAGTCATGGGGGAGCTATTTTTTTTTCTGTTATTTCATAAATTAAAAGAACCGTGCCCTAGATTTCTGTCTAGGAAGAAATTCTGCCTCAAAAACTCAGATTAACTCCTGTTTCAGAGGTCTTTAGTAGCTGATCTTCATTTCCTAGCTCCTAGAGCTCAGATACATTCAAATATGAGCTAAGAAATATTCACATTTGGGCTCGGAATAGAGTCATTTTTCTCCATTGTTTTCTGATGTTCTTTCTGATGTTTACTTCAAATGCATAAATTTGATAAACATGTTATTATTGCACCCAAAATTGAGTTTAATCAAGATTTTTATATTAGATTTATTCATACATGTGAAATACTTAATGATTATGAAAAAATCTTAAGTAATAATATTTTAGGTGATTTTTGTCTGATCATAGTTACTTTAATTTTTTTTTTTTTTTTTGGTACCGGGGATCAAACTCAGGACCTTGTGCTTGCGAGGCAGGTGGCAGCACCACTGAGCTAAATCCCTAGTCCAAGTTACTTTAATTTCAATCCTGCATACTTGTTTCAAAAGTTGTCTGTGGGTACATGTAACTGCTACTTCAATCATACTGCCTATCAGTTCATGAAATCTACTTTATTTGATTTAGATTGATTTGATTTTAATTAACTGTCTTGTGTAAATAGGAACCTGAGGTGGGAGTTAAGCCTGGCACTGACATTGCTTCATATAAACAAAATTATTAACATGATTTCCAACATGGCAACATAAGCTTTTCCTTTAGTATCAGGATCTTAAATATATATTCATTTGTAGCTATTAATTTTAATGATTATTAAATATGATACTTAAGCTATGTTTTAATTGTATAATTTTAAAAAGGCACTTCTTTAAAATTGTTAGAGCTCTTATTTTTGAGGCTGTTTTTTAAATAAATAATCCTTTTTATTTTCATATAGCCATTTTCCTTGAGAGGGACATTTGCTTGTTTAAATTTTTTTTAAGCATCCTGGAATTGTGTTGTCTGATTTTTCTAATTTTTTCTTACTCCACATGTGGGCTAAAAGTTCGTACAAAAGTATATATTACTAAAGGAAAAAAAAAAACAAAGCAAGTCTGTTACAGCTTTTCTGAGCTACAATCAAGTCCAACAGAGATCAGAATGAGTTTAATGTAGGCAAATGTAATCAGCCACAGTATAAGAAAGCTTAATTTATTATATCCTTAGGGAAAAACAAAATCTAAATCCAAAGATCATTATAACTATAAGAGACACGATGAACAAATTAAACCAAGCAAACAAACAAAACCCATTTTACAAGTTTATTCCTTAGAAAAAACCAATATACTAAAATTTCTGACCACGAACATTTTCTTTCCCCTTAAATGTGCCACTAAGTATTATCTATGAACTTTGAGCTCATTTAATCAATTATACTTTCCACTCCAGTTTTGTTTACCTCTGTGGTGTAATCAGTGCATTTTTATCAGTTGATCTACAAATTAGTCAGCTGTGAATTTATTCATCATTTAATTCGGTGGTTTTTTTTCCATTGTTCCATACCTTGACACACCATCACTAGAAAAATACATGATGATGTTGTTGGGTAGGAAAGGGGCGATTAATTTACTCATGGGGTTGGAGACAACCTTGAGCTTTTGTTATTGCTACTGATAACTCACCAAGTAGCATGCAGATCCCCACTTATTCTACTGGCAGTCTTTTGAATGAACAGCTTCCTAAGTCAGAATCCTGGTGCTGCTCATACATGCCCTTGTCTAACCTTCATAAGAGCCTGGTGATCCCACAGGTATTACCCCCATTTTACAGATTAGACAATTTAAGATTAAAAGATTAATTTCCCCCATGTTACATATAGAGCATGGGGCAAGAGTTGACACTTAAGCGTATTTAATTACAAAATCCATGATCTTTCCATAACACTTTGCAATTTATTTCTAATTATATTATTCTTTTAAAGGAGACTATTGATTTGACTTTTCCAACCTTAATTTATTCCAAGTCATATAATCAGATTTTCTCTAATCCAGAATAGATTTGCAGCCTAACTAAGGTTAAGATGTATTTGGGAATTGGGTTGGGTACTATTTCATTAATTGTAATAATATTACTTGTTCACATTTTAATATCTCTGAAATCAGAACATCAATGATAAGGAAGCATTTGTAATAGTTAGATGGTATATTAACTTTTCTTTCTTAGTGACTTTTAAAGTAATGGTGTGTTTTCAATCAAAGGTTTCTTTGACAAGAAAAAGTATAGTGCTTAGCTTTTCAGTGAAATTCAGTAGAATATGGGAAACCGGGCTAATTTTGATTCATTTCTAACTCCACTGCACACCATCTGCCAGGCTGAGCTGGGAAGAAAGATGCTCTATTTAAAGTGGGGCTCAAGTTTGGGAGTTTTATCTTCTCTTGCTATTGGTACCCATTCTTCTCTTCCCTTGTCAAGTTCTAATAATGAGATTTCTACTTCCTCTTTAAACCTGCCTTTGGATAATTGAAAAATGATGTTAGTTTGTTATTATTTAATTATCTCTATCCTCTTCCTCCAACCTCCTTTTTAGTCATGCTAATAAAAGGTTATTATTTTCTTAAGGTTATTTCCTTTAAAGTCTAAGTAAAAATGTGAAATTTTTGGTCATGTTCATTACAAATATACATATATATTTAAAATTCTATGTACGTGATGTACAATATGGATGTGGAGTTGTGGAAGATATATGTATAGGATGTAGGAAATAAATGTTGATTTCTTATTATTGTTCACTTCTGTATATCAGAATCTTTATTATGAAAATTCCTATTATTACCCAAGGGCTTAGTAAGATATTAAATTGATAGAATTTTTATACAACTTTACCCTTTCTAAAATTTTTTCACCCATACCCTAAGGAGAATTTTATTCTTTTGTCTTTAGAATATCTTTGTAAGTTATATCATAAAGAAGTCTCAGCTTCCTCTTAGTAAAGTGGGAAATAATGACGTTTTCTACCTCCTTAGTCATAGGATAAATTAACTAATATATATAACTTTTTAAAAAATGTGTGTCACCTAATAAAAATTTAGAAGTACTTGCTATTGGAAACCATTTCTAATATTTTTTTGTAGAGTATTTTAAAGCCAAAGATTCCTAGAAGACAAATTACATTGTATGTGGTTTTCTAAGGCCTGAATTGTTTGTATTATAGCCCCAAATTCCCACTTTTTATTGATGGATGAAATTTCTCATTCAGCACCCACTCTAACCAAATCTTTACAAGTTACCCAGTTCTTGTGGGAAACAGACTGTATAGATTTCCCAATTTAAGCTGCATACTGTGGAAATAACTTAGGCTTTGCACTCAGAACTGAAACCAAATTCCAGCTGCCTTCCATTTTGATATCAGGAATCACTTAGAACTCTGAACCTCTGGTTTTGTGTCTGTACGAAGATGAGTAATAATTGATCACATGCTGATTTGTAAAATTAAATGATGTAATATATTTAAAGGATCTATCTATCTATCTATCTATCTGATATATATATATACATATTTTTTATACACCTGATATATATTGCCTGATATATACTGGGTTTTTTATAAATACTATTGATAAATATTATTGTGACTATTTTAAAGATTAGAACTCCTGAAGGAAATCGCTCATTATCATTAAATCTTAATTTCTCCATCTAAAATGGGCTTAATGTTAATTTATTCCTGTGAGTACATAGAGGACTACATTATTCACATAAAG